AACAACAACAACAACAACAACAACAACAACAACAACAACAACAACAACAGCAGCAGCAGCAGCAACAGCAGCATCAGCAGCAGCAACAACAACCGTTACAACAACAACAACAATGTGCACCAAATCAATCGACGGCCGAGCAACTAGATAACTTTGGTAACCATGCCGAATTGGAGAAACTCGAAGAAGTTGGCGATATTTTGGGTGATTTGGGCGAAGATGACGATGATGAATTCTTGAAGTCCTTTACCGCTGAAATGGGCGTTGACTTCAACATTTTGGAATATGCTGATCCCGAATTGGATGCACTCGACGAAGCCGATCAATCGAATCTATTGGACAGTCTCGATTTTGATGAAACCGAAGAAAAGGAAAAGACCAAGAGAGCCGCATTGGAGAAATTGAACAAGGCCAATGAAAATAAAGCGGCAATGGGCCAGTTGAAAACAAATCTCAATCAAAATAATGAACAACAAGCGAATGCTACCAATTCAGTCGTTTCAAATGTGGTGCAAACATCACTTCCCAATCAAATTACACAAAATAGACCACCGCAAACACAACAGCAACAAATGATGATGCAGCAAAGGTGAGTGATTCGTTTTTCGTCTCTTTTTTAGGTTTTGAACGTTTTTCTTTCTGTGAAATTTTGAACCCAAAAACACGAAATGAAATTGATTGCTTTTTTTATTAATGAAAAAATGCGTGTTTCTCAGGCAAATGCAACCAAATATGAGCGCTCAACAGCGTGTGTCAATCCGTTCGAATCCGCCACCTTATCCAGTTCAACCACCACCACCGTATCCAGGTGCCATGAATAATGTTCAGGTGAGTTCGTTTTCATCGTATTTTCTTTGTTTCTCTTCCAACCATTTTGTTGTCTACTTTGATGAACCAGTGTATGAACGTTTTCCAAATTCAATAGCAACAAACAAACCAAAAAAAAAACTAACCCAATCGATGTTTAAAAAATATTTGAAGTGTTTGCATTTTGCCTTCTCACTCTGTGCACAAAAGTTTCAATCAAGCGTGATTTTGTGCCCCATTTGATTTAATTGTTATTGCACTCGATGAAGGGAACAATGCGACGCTTTCTTGTAATCAATCTTATGTTCAATTGTTTTCTGTTTCTTCTTCTTTTGATTACAAATTTTCGTTTAAGTTACTAAGCAATCAACTCAGTGAATGTCTTGTTATTGACAATGAAAATAAAAAAGCAAAAATTAATTCGATAGAGAATAGGGTTTAACGAAAAAAAAGAAAATCAAATTAGAAGTTTATATCAATTGTTTTTTTTTTTAATTTTCTTTAGTTGTACATATATCTATTTGTTTCTACTCTTTGTTGTACTACTCTTTCCTATAACATCAATATTTAAGTACATATGAATATATACATGTACAGTATAATACGTATCAAACATGCGCGTCCGGAATAACATCTGATTATCCACCAGCAATGACACAGCGTCGTCCGCTGTTGCTGCAGGTGAGAGTGTAATAAATGTGACTTAGCAACATTTCAACAACAACAAAAAATCGAACCAAAAAAATATGCCAAAATTAGAACAATCAATTATTACATTCGCAAGTTTCCTTTTATTGTTTTCTAAAATGAAAATAAAAAAACAACTCACATTTCTCTGTCTTTCTATATATATATCTATCTATACATCTATTTCTCGCTGTCGCTCTTTCGGCCTCGCTCATGCCCAGAAGAAAAAAAAATACTCACACACACTAGTCATCTCTAAATCGCTTTAATTTTGTGTTGCAAGAGCCAAATTATATAGCCAAAAACATAGAAATTCACCGCAAATGTACATAGTATATCTATACAACTATCGTCCCGTCTATTGATCACATATTACATAGGCAATAATTCGGATTGGATTTGAATGAACCAAAAACAGGAAAAAAGAGCATTTGCTTCGGTATGCCGACCAATTTGAAATGAAATCAGATGTCAAAATTCTTGTGTTGACACGTCTCTCGTTTTTTCGGATTTCGCTTAATTTACTGTTTAGTCCGTTTACTTTTTCTTTCGTTTCGTACTCTGGCCTGATTGATCGCTTTGTTTGTTTTTCAATATCTCAAAATACACCAAGACACATACATGCCGTTCTCATCGTAATATTTAGTAAACAAAAATAAACATTATTTGTTTTTATTAGATGCAACGGTTTTAAGCAATAATCAATTCATTTTTATTTTGGGATAAAATGTGTATAATTTCTCCATTGCCAATAGGAACAGCCTTTGTTGCTCGAAGATTTACTGGAGCAAGAGAAACGCGAGAAGCAAGAGCGTGAGCGTCAAGCATCAATGAACAGTGACATGAGCAATCCAAATAGTTCGAGTTTGTTGAGCGAACATGATTTTGAACGGTTGCGTGCTGATGTGCTCGGCAATCAAGGTATGCCAGCGCAAGGGATACAAGCCCAGGGAATGCCACCTCAGGGAATACCAGCACAAGGGATGCCCAATCAAGGGATGCAAACACAAGGTATTCCGGCACAAGGGCTTTTGCCCATCCAACAACAACAGCCGATGATGCAAAATCAATCGCAGCAACGACAAGCGTTCGTTGCTCAGAATCAACCGCGGCCACAGTTCATTCAGCGTACGGTCAGCCAACAGCAACAGCCGCATCAATCTCCACAGCAGAACATGCAAAATCAAGTGCCAACCATGAACACGATGATGGAGCCAACGGTTGTGAAGACCGAAGCGTGCAGTGTACCAATGTTTGTGGCCAACTTACAGAAACCGCCATCGTTGCCGCCAGACAGCATTGTCACCGAACAAGATCGCCAAATGCAAATCAACTATGAACAATGGCTGAGTGCACAGGACAATAAATTGGCCAACCAACGGAAATACTATGAGACCGAGGTGACGAAATTACGAAAATCACGCAAAGCACTGAACAGCAAACAACGTGCGTTGAAAAAGGGCGGAAACGACCTTACCGAAAGTGATACTATCGAACTTAACAAGATTACTGCTGATCAAACGTTTGTTCAAAAACAACTCGAGAATGCACGAAAACAATCACGGCAACACACGCTCGTTATTAACGACTATAAGAATAAACAACAGGCAGCTGGCATGAAGAACAATCTCGCTCGACAACAAATGGCTGTAAGTAACTTGGTTTTTGTTCGGATGCAATTTTGTTTATTTTTAGTTTAATTTGAACACTGGTTTTTGCTTGCATCAAAAGTATTTACTAAAACGAAAAATGTATAAATGAAAATATTCAATTGAAATTTTAGGCTCAACAGCAACCGCAACAGATACTCTCGCCGATCAATCAACCGGGCGTTATGTCGGCCCAATCACCACTTGGAAACTCTGGACAACAAACAAATATGATGCAAATGTCTGCTCAATCGCCGCTTGGAAATCCGGGACAACAATCCAGCATGATGCAAATGTCGGTGCAATCACCGATGCAAGCGCCTAGCCCACTAATGGCACAAAGTCCGATTCCAAGCAATGCGATCATGCAAAGCCCTGGCAATCCGAATATGTCACCGTACAACAGCCAACCATCGCCACGCATCGGAACACCACATTCGCAGCCTGATGAGGTAAAATACGATTGATTAAAGAACAAAAAAAGACGTTCTGCAGCAATTGTTTGAACAGCATTCATTTTTATTGACAATTGAAAATGAGAATAATGCGTTTCCTTTTCTTGCAACAGCAATCGAATGCTCCTCAGATGAGTCCGTTCAGTCCAGGTGGTCCAATGAGGTACGATAAATTAATTCGGAAAACTTTTCACTCATTTATATTTCGTTTCTTCAATTAAAAACTCATTCACGAATATGCAAACTAATGAAAATATTTCTTATATTGTTCAGCGCTTCACCATCACCCTCGTTGCCTGGTCGATTAACGTCGCCAGCTCCACGAATGACATCACCTCAACATCATCGTATCGCTGGTCCACCAATGCAAGGTCGAATTTTAACGAGCCCGAGCCACACATATGCACAACAAAATATTGTGCAAACCCAAATGATTGTCAATCAGCATCGTTTCGTTCGACCTCAGCAACAACAGGTAACCGGCATCACATTTCCAATATTAATTTGCTCAATTCTAACACTATGATGATTTAATATGATAAATTGTCTTTTTGAATTTAACGCAAGCAGCAAGTGCAGCAGCAACAGATTGTGGTGAATCGTCAAGCAAGTATGACGGGTTACATTTCGCCATTGGGTAGCCCACAACCAATAATGTCGCCGAATGCGAATCCCATGCAACAAATGCCACAACAGCAGCAACAACAACAGCAACAGCAACAATTGCAACGGAGACAACAAACGGTGATGCAGGTAAGACTCATCAATAATGTAAGAAAAAACACAAAATAAATCGAAAACTCATCATGAGCGGATTCCGAATGAGTAGAGTTGGAATATTTTGTCTAATTTATTTGAATATCGAAGACGTTTTACTTGAGTAAAAATAAATTATTTTTGTTGAAATGTGAAACAGAAAATGGAACATGTTTAAAATGCTTAAATTTCATGTTGCTCAATATGCTATTTATAGATGCAACGGCAACAGCAAATGCTGCAAATGCAACAGAGCCAAATGCAACAGAACCAAATGCAGCAAAATCAAATGCAACAAAATCAGATGCAACAGAACCAAATGCAAATGCAACAGGTTCAATCGCAACAGCAGCATTACATTCAACAGCAAGTAAGTTGATATCGTACATATGGATTAGATTTCGATTAAATGCGGATGTGCTATTTAAATCTTGCAAATAATCTTTTCGTTCTATCCCGTCTGAAAGATTAGTAACTGAGCCGTCAGTTAACTAATTTCGGACAAAAATGACTTACTTTGATTGACATTTCAGTACAACGTGTAGTGTAAGTCTATCATAGTTAACTGAAATCATTTGAAGTTACAAGTCAATCTAAGTTGCTTCATTTGGGACAGAGTGATTTTCTAAGAACAAAAACATAAATTCAATCAACTAAAGTCAACTGAAGTTAAAGTCAGTCAGTCATTTTTTTCAAACGGGATTTCATACGACATCACTTGAATGCATTTTAATCTCATTTTTTTTCCTACTTGGTGCACCAACAGGTGGTTAGTCCAATGATGATTAGTTCACCACATATGCAACGGCCGCCGAGTGGTGGGCCAATGAATTCGCCGCAACAGGTTCAACAGCAACCACAACAGCAGCCACAACAACCACCGCCCGGTTATGTATATCAGAAGCCCGGTTTGCGTGGTGGTGCGCCAATTCATGGTTTAAGCCGTGGTGCCAAGCGATTGCCAATGGCTAGTACATCGACTAGCGGCCAATCGCAGGCTCCACAAACCAGCAATCCAGTTGTGATTGTCACCCGATCGGAATTGAATAATGTCACAATTTTGAAGAAGAAAGGCACAATGAAAACGACGGGCACATTAAAAGCCGCTACCGGTACACGAATCATTCACCGTGGCAAAGTGGCCAACATAATACCAACACAGGACGATTATGATGAAGCGTCAAATGCATCGACAATGTCAACACCAACCACATTCACCGTGCAACCGCATATGATCAATCGCAATCTGAAGCGAACGGCATCGGACAGTTGCTACACAAGCACCAAATCATCGATGCGATCCCCATTGACCGGATCCACAATGATCATGGAGGATATTGTGGTGATCGACAGCAGCCCGGATGAAAAGCAACGCATCATGGACTATGACGATGATAATGATAAATCGGTTATCGGACCGGAAGTATCGCTTAGCTCAGTCGCACAGAACGCTATCGATGGCGATGATGTGTCGGTGATTTATGACACATCGGCGGGAAATGATTTCAACATTGTATCAAGCCCATTGGAATCGGAGGAAATTAGCGAAGAATATCCACTGTTCCCATGTGTAGCTGACTATGTTGATGATGGTGAACGTCACACAATCGAAAGTCCGACTGAAGATGATTCGAAATCCATGACGGTCGATGACAGTGATGACGATGGTAAACATCATTCCGAATCACCGGTTTATCTGGATGAAATCGTGAATTTAGATACCAATTCGGAAGAGCATTTCGCCACAACCGAAGAAGAGATCATGTCAATGAATTCAGAAATTATCATCATGGATTCAGGCATTAAGACACCTGAAGATCGTTTGCATAATACAGCCGAAGATTTTGAAGCGATGATCGATTCGGGCAATTCCAAAGACGGAAAAGAAAGTAATTCATCGATTGAATTGATGGAAATCGAACCCGAACAAGAGTTGCCGTTGATCAAAACCTCGAAACCGGTAACAATTGCCAAGGAAACGACTACCTTGAGCAAGGGTAGAGTCATTACAGTTGTTGTACCACAATCTTCAGCTTCTTCCAATAAGCCACAAATCGTTCCGTATGGTCGTAAAACCGTCACAGCCACTGCCATTGTTACCAACAAAAATGCAGTCTATTCGACCGTTTCATCATCGGCATCCACGCATAATTTGGTGAAAGATGCAACACAAGCCAAATACCTGTTGGGCGATCAAACGATTTCAGTGCCGATACTGAAAAATCTTCCATTGGCACGCGTCTCAGGGGCAAAAGGCAATGCTGAGACGGGCAATAAAAAGATTATTGGTCAATCGGCCATTATCAGTACATCACTTTCCAATATTTCGTTGAAAAAACTCAATTCGAACTTTGTCACGTTGTCACCACTGAACATTCAACACACTTCGGGTGGTCGTATCGTGCAAGCACAACTTGTGCGCGCACAACCGTCACAACAAACCGTTACGACAGCTAATCAAAGAAAAGTAACATCGGTTGCTGGACCACAGATAACGAAAAGTGTAACGCCTACCCTGACCTATTCGAAAATTGGCACGTCACTGGCCTCGTTGAAAGTGTCACAGGATGTGTCATTGCCAACGAAACTCTTCGAAGACGAATCCATATCGCCCGACAGCTCAATCGAACAAGATGAAAGCGATCTAATGCTCACCGAAGAAACGATCTACACAACCGAAGACTCAAACAATCGTGATGCTAATGAAATTGGGGTAAGTTCACAATCGCGCTATCACGTTTTTTTATTTACTACTGCTTTTTCGTTCCTTTCGAAAAATAAATTCATTTACCAAACAAAAATAAAATAACAGTTTTTTATGAATGAAATTGACCGAGAGATATTCTATGTTGAAATTGTTGCAGGAGAATTCGCAGAAGTCAATTTCGTCACCTATTTCATCCATATCAAATCAAGACCGTATCATCGAAGTGGACGAAATGCTGAACGATGACTGGAAACGCAAATCGTCATCATCGTCGCCAATCATCAAATCAGACAGTCAATCGAATACATCGCAAAGTGGCGGCGATAAATCACAAGATGCAACCGAAAAACCAACAAAACCAACCGTACAAATTCCAGTGCATGTTATCATCAAATCGTGTGAATCACCAAATACAGCCAGTCTTCAGCAAACTGCACGTTTGACATCGAATTTGCCACAGTTATCACCGCTTTCACAACCCAACGAGATAACTTCGAACATGGCAAATGCATCGCAACAATTGCGTTCAATTATGTCATCGATTAATCAAACAGCAACAAACTCAAACACGGCCTCAGGCATAACAAGCAATCAAAACAAACCGGTCACAACCACTGTCGAAATAAAAACAATCGACGCACAAGTGTCAGTTGCAAACGCATTGGCAGCGGCGGCCACAGCAATGCCGTCCGGCATCAAAACGGACAACACCACAAATGTTGTGCCAACGAGTTTTGAAAATGTGTTGGCTGTTAATCGCACCAATGAGCTGAATGCAAAAATTGAAACCGTTCAACAAACCGTTCCAAAGATTGTCAACGAAACGATTCCAACAACGATCACTGCTGGCAAAATATTGACATCGCAAGCGTTCAGTCAGAACAATATCGGATCGATTACAACGACATCGGCCGGAAGTATTCTGGTCGTGAAACAATTGCGAACCGTTTCACCGATGACAAGCCGAAGTCGATCACCGGTCACGGTTAATTCATCTGGTGCAAAGACACAGACTTTTTCACTCGTGAAATCGACAATGGGCGGGACGCCAATCATCATTTCCGGTCAGGCAGCACCACCCGGCTCATCGGTGATTATCAATAAAATGCCAATTCTTCACAAAGTCGTGACCACTGCATCGATTGTATCGGCTGCCAATAACATTGTCGTTTCGACAAATAATCCAATTTCGGTGTCGACATCGATCGCAAAGAGTACCACACAAACGATGAGCATTTTGAGCAGTACATTATCTCAGCCACAGCAATCTCGTATTGTTCCTTATGCCGAAGGACAACAGTTTACCATTTCGAAGAAACCCATCAAATTGCCGATTTTGACGAAAATCGAAAATGCAACCGTCGTATCGAATGCATCGGTCACGTCAGCTAGTTCAACGGCAGCTATTCAGAATATTCTGCAATCGGGCCTATACAGCCATCCGACAAGCGGCAGCATTTTGAGCGCTACCCTCAGTCAACCGGCACAAAAACCAAATGCAAAACTACTACAAACACAATTGACCAACAATTCATTCCGTCGATCGAAATCGACCGATGAAGTTCCTGGCTTCCTCAAAGAAACACCCGCTCAAATCATAAGCAAACGACACAGCAGCATGGAGGCATCACTGAAAGATGAAAAAGACGAAGGCACAGCAGCAGCTCCGGCGTCAATCGTTCAAAATACCACCGAAAATGCAACGGAAAATTGTAAATTCACCACTGTCACCATGGTCCATAAATCGGATGAATCGCAAAATGTTTTGCTGAAGCAATTGCTGCAACAAGCAAGCAATACCGCACCAACACCATCATCGATACCAACAATATCGCGATCGGTGACCTCGTTGCGAGCACCAAGCTTGGGTGTGGTTAGTTCACTCGAAGCTCAATTGGCCAGACCGGTCATTTTGCCTGTACCAGCCACTCCAAATGCCATCCAATCGAAACCAAACACTCTTGTTACAGGTAAACATCCATTGATTTGTGGATTTTCTGCTTTTTAAATTACTTTACTTTTTTTTAATGTCCTATTGGAAAAGATGAGTTTTTTTGAGAATCTCTTCAAGTAATCAATTCCAATTTTATTAGACTTTTTAACGAAATAACAATCTTTTTATACAGCCACAACAACCACATCACAATCGTTCAGCGCACAAATAAACAGCGCAAATAAAGCGGCAGCATCAACTGTTGCCGTCAGCAGTGCATCGGTTGAAACGTCGAAAAATTCGGTGCGCGCTCATCAAATATTATCACGTGAAACGTCTTTCGTTTCGAAGCCAGTGAGCAGCGAAGAGAAAGATGAACCAACCACCATTCCAGCACCGATTATAACAAGTGTCCAGGTTACTACGGTACCTCAAATTACAATACCAACGGTTACCACCACGGGAACACCGGCATCTACCGTCACTATCACAAGTGAGTAATGTGATTTTTCGTAAAAAATCGAATTGACTTCAGATCTTCTTTGAAAGAAGAAAAGTATAAAAGACGTTTTCCATCTTGAGAAAACGAATGAAAACAGTGAAAAGAAGTTCGGTCACAAAATCTGAAACAGAACTTCAGAAAATCTGAACATAACCAAAAAAGGGGTTTTCTTTTCTTTGAAAATTAATGACAATTCACTCTTTTTTTTCAGCCAAAGCAAGTCAACCTGAGCCAGTTGTGACTCCAACTCCACCAGAAGTGGTGACTACAGTGGTAGACGTAACAACAACGACTGTTACTTCAACGAATGCCTCGACCCCGAATACAGGTAAATTTATTGAGATTGGTAACATTGAACAATTCTATTCTAAAACAACTCAACGAAACATTTTAAAGATTCAAATTTATCGTCATCAATATCTCAAGATCGCTTTTACATAATCGACTTTTTAGCGACTGCAAAACGTTTAACAAACATTATCAACTCTAATATTCATAATATGCATTATTCTCTTATTCCTTCCCCTAACTTAATTCAGTAGCCATAGCGCAGAAGAATTGTGTGACATTGCAGCATCAAACATCGATTGAAAAGCCAATTGAATCGGCTTCAGCGGCAACAACACCAATTGAAGTGATCAAGACTGAACCGATCGTTGCAAAAGAAACCGTTCAAAATGCTGGCGCTGCATTCATAAAAACCGGTGAAATGATGAACGCATCAGCGATTGTAATCAAACGTGAAGATTCGATTCCATCGCAATCGAGTCCAACGCCAACCTCGCGTCCACCATCGATTCTATCGAATGCGGATGTTAAGCGTGAATTGCTCGATGATAATTCACAAATGAGTGCTGCATCCGATCACAGCAGTATTAAGCAAGATTCAATAAAAGAGGAGCCAACAAATGAAACGATCACCGATCCAGAAATGGCTGCGAAAATTGCCCAAGAGATAGCACTGGAGAATAAACGTCGAAAGCGTCGTGAATATCAGAAGAATCGTCGTCAAATGCAGATTCAAAGCAAAGAAAATGCAAATGCTGCTGCAGCTGCTGCGGCTATTGGCCAAGGCCCGGTCAAGAAGAAGCCACGCAAAATGAGCGCAACGGCCAAAGTGGACGAAGATTACGATACGTTTATCGATAATTTGATGGTTCAGCTGAAATGCATGCCACCGATGCAAATACTCGAGCCGACACTCAATCGAAACTATTCGATTTGTTCGGCATTTGGTTCGGGTGATTTGAACAAGTTCGGTTCGGATCGTGAATACAGCATCATTTCGGGCGATCTGAAGCATGAATACGGTCGAGCTGAATTGGAAAGTGTTTCCGATCACTACAACACCAAGCCATTTGGTTGCAAGTCACCGTTGTCCGAGCAACACAATTCATCGACACATTACGGTTTCTATGATCAAGAATTTTCACCAATCAAATTCTCCAGTGATGATGAAAATCGTAGTAAATACGATTTCTTGAAGGAGCGTGACATTGAAACACCAGACACAATCATCAGTTCATCGAGTCCAGAGTGTGTGATCCAAGATTCACCATCACATTTCCCCGGCTTGCGATTGATTCAAGAAGATGACGAGGAATCGACAACTGATTCTCAGATGAACAAACGGATGTCACCACAAATTCCGATCATTACACCGATTCCGATTCGCTTGAAGAAGGGCATGTCGCTGACAACCGACAAAAATTGCAACACTCTCATCGACAAGAACAGTGTCAAAGAAATCTTTGGTAGTAAATCGAAATTCGGACCACCGATGCCAGCGTTGAAAGACAAGAATAACGTAACAATTACGTTAACATTGACATCATCGGCCGCTGATGATATCTTGACTGTGCTGCAAGATTTGGCAAATATTCTACACATTCATCCGCCAACCACGTACGAAATTGTGGAGCGAACGACAACGCCACCAAGCCAAAAGCTTGGCTTGTATCGCACACGCGGCAAAGATGGCAAAGAAGGCGCTCCGATCGATATTCAAACCATTTTGAATGGAAATGCCAAATTCTGTCGTCACTGTGATGTGGTCATTTTGAATACAGTCGTTCGTGCCAAAGCCTACGAGTTCCCATTGCTGGCGCAAAACAAACACGAATTCGTGAACGAGAGTGATGATTTATACTTCTGCAGCAAATCATGCTATCGCCAATTCAAATGTGTGCCAACGAATATTCTGGACGACAAGCTGCCGGAAACATCGAACACGGAACAAAGCATGTACGACGATACGGTGAAATACAGCAAATGCCCGAACATTTTGCTAACTTCATCGATCACCGAACTGAATGACGTGAATGCCGACGATGAAAATAGCAAAGACAATTCAAGCATCAGCACTGACACCAAGGACGATACAAAGGATAGCGTCTTATCGGCCACCGATTCGAATGTGAAGAACGACACAAAATTGATCGATGGATTGAAACCGAATGCAAGAAAATTGCCTGACGATGCGGTCGCCGATGAAAAATCACAGCCGGCAAAGAAGCAAAAGGTAATGCAATACATGAAATTCTCACCGGGATGCTTCAAAGCGCAGAACAAATACAAGAAAATGACGGAAAAAGAAACGACCGAAATGCTGTTCCGGATGAACATCACCGTGACACCATCGCCCGATAAATTGCCCGAAGACACGCGCAAATGCATATTCTGCCATCAAATCGGTGATGGAGTTGCTGATGGACCGTCGCGTCTGTTGAACTTTGACGTCGACAAATGGGTTCACTTGAACTGTGCCCTTTGGTCGGACGGTGTCTATGAAACGGTCAATGGTGCGTTGATGAATTTGGAGAATGCGTTGCAACAGAGTTTTACACAACAATGCACCCTGTGCAATCAATATGGAGCGACGATCAAATGCTTCAAGAACCGTTGCACCAACATTTACCATTTGAGCTGCGCGATCAAAGACAATTGCGTTTTCTATAAGAGCAAAACGGCGCATTGCACCAGCCACGCACCAAAAACGGAAAAAGACAACGAACTGACGACATTGAGCGTACAGCGTCGTGTCTATGTGGAACGAGATGAACCAAGACAAGTCGCCTCGGTGATGCATCATTCGGAATTGAGCAATTTGTTGCGTGTTGGCAGCTTGATATTCCTCAATGTAGGCCAACTGTTGCCGCATCAATTAGTCAATTTCCACACACCAAACTTCATCTATCCGATTGGCTACAAAATTCTACGATTCTACTGGTCATTCCGACGACCAAACAAACGATGCCGATACATTTGCTCGATTGCCGATGTCTGCGGTCGACCGGAATTCCGTGTTCTCATCCAAGAATCATTCGAAGAAGACGTTGAATACCGTGACTCAACGCCAAAAGCAGTTTGGCAACGTATCCTCGAAAAATTGGCACCGCTACGCAAAGAAAACGATTTAGTGCAAATCTTTCCCAAGTACATCATTGGCGAAGATTTGTTCGGTTTGACCGAACCGGCCGTGGTTCGCATATTGGAAAGTTTGCCCGGCATCGAAACACTCACCGATTATCGATTCAAATATGGACGAAACCCGCTGCTTGAGCTACCATTGGCCATCAATCCATCGGGAGCGGCACGTACTGAACCGAAACCACAGCAAAATCTCAGCTGGAAAAAACCACACACACAACGATCGGGCAGTGCAAGTCAACGGCCAGCATTTGTTGCCTCTACATCTGTTGTTGGTGAAGTGGCGTGCCCATACAGCAAGCAATTTGTCCATTCGAAGAGCTCGCAATACAAGAAAATGAAGCAAGAATGGAGAAACAACGTGTTCCTAGCTCGGTAAGTGAACATTTCCTTCTTTAAGTAGCTCATTTGTTGAGTTGAACACAGTTTTACACAAAAAAATGCAATTCCATTTACAGATCAAAAATTCAAGGGCTGGGCTTGTATGCGGCTCGAGACTTGGAGAAACACACAATGGTCATCGAATATATCGGCGAGGTGATTCGATCGGAATTGTCAGAGCTGCGCGAAAAACAATATGAGGCAAAGGTTTGTAATGAATTTCGGTCTTTTTGGCTAATTTTTCTTCAATCTTTCAAAACGTTCCATTTTTAGACGAAAATTTCGTCTCGAATTTGAAGCATTTCCAAAGCAATCTTTTTGATTGGACTTTTTATGTTGATTTTTCATTTTAAAACTGTTCCAAATTCCATTTCATTCCATATTTTTGAACAATTTGAAAATTAATTTGATGAAATAATTCAATTTTCCGTAAAAACCCATAGAATCGCGGCATTTACATGTTCCGTTTGGACGAAGATCGTGTAGTGGATGCAACGTTATCCGGTGGATTGGCGCGTTACATAAATCATTCGTGTAATCCGAATTGTGTCACCGAAATCGTTGAAGTTGATCGGGAATTCCGTATCATCATATTTGCAAAGCGTCGCATTAATCGTGGTGAAGAGGTAAGAGGCGCTTCGGTTTTAGCATACTATGGTTCTTTTTCCATAAATTCTGAATATCCAATTCAATAAAACTGAATAAATCAAATGAAACTAAAAATAAATTCCATTCATTTCAGCTGTCATATGACTACAAGTTTGATATTGAAGACGATTCACATAAGATTTCGTGCATGTGCGGCGCACCAAATTGCCGCAAATGGATGAACTAAATTGGAGCGTGAAAACGAATGGAATGCATCTATGTATCAGAGTAGAAGACGACATGAACCCATTTAGACATTTTGTGATAATAAATTAAAATTAGAGAGAGATATAGAGGAACACATTCGAGTAGACGATGCACGGATATAGGAGCGGAAAACATATAAAACACTGTATTTGTATTGAAATTGAATTCTCGCATCACATCAGCATGTTAACTATTGAACTGAATCAGCAATAATTCTACAACAATTCAACATCCATAGATTTCATCCATGTTCACATTGAAACACACCTTTTATCCATTCCATGCATTGGATTCTAGTTTTTATTTAAAAACAAAACAAAACAATTTCTTTTCAATCATCAAAATGCAAGAAAAAAACGATTTCCAAATTATCATCAGATAAAACCAAAAAAAAAAAAATGGATGAAATGTGTGCGATGAGATTAGACAAAAGAACAAGAAGAAAAAACAACTAATATCCAAAATTTCCCAAATATATGCTATATTTTTCTTTCTCGTACACTGAAACAAAACAAATATAAACAACAACAACAAAAAAGTATAAGAGCGCTTTGACCCATTGTTAAATTTACGATTTACACAAACAAAAACCAACAAATGAACATAAAAAAAAGATATATTATATGGTTTTTCTAACGAGTACCAATATAAACACATTAGAACGTAGACCTGTAAATATGTTATTTACTTTAATTCAATTTGATATTGACAAAGAAATGAAAACAAATGAAAAACACACAAGAAAATAGAAAGCGGATTAAATACAACAAAATGAGAAAGAGAAAGGAAAATCGACACAAAATACGCAAGAAGCAATTCTATATTTTTGATAACATTTGTCAAAACATCAAACGCATCGCAAAAGCAAATAATGGGACAGACAGAGACAGAAAGATATGTTAGCGCAACACAATATTACACATGAACGAATACACACTTGATTTGAAGGCACGAATGAATATTGACGAAGAAAAAAAAAAGTGAATGAGAGAAATGAAAACGCGTTACATTTTTTCCATGCTCTCCTCCAGCACATTTTGTGACACACTGATTTTTGTTGCCTGTTTTCTAAGCATCCAAAACAATGATATGTATCAAGCATCGTCTTGATTATACTTGTTTTAGTTATTTTTTTTTTATTTCTGAGATCTCTGGACGATGATACACAGAACAAACTAAATCAAACCTACGGCCATTTCAATTTCGATTTTTGCATAATCATTTTTCTTTATTTTATTTTTTTTTTTAAATATCATTTTCAATGCATGAAAGCACATCGACTTTTTTCATGCAGCCACTCTTTCGTTAGGCAAACAATTTTTGAATAAAAAAAGGTGAGAGAGAACAAAAACCAATAAAAAGAAGAGAGAGAAAAACACACACACACACACACACACACATTGTGGATTTGTGAATCGTTTAAAAAACGTACATTTCATTTTCTTTTGATTCGAACTACTTTCAGTAATTCCAAACTGACACATATGAATCATTTATTAGAGACGACACGAAAAACAAATTTAATGCAACCCAAACGTAAATTGTAAGACATGAAGCATAAAAAGAAGAAAAAAAATTGAATCAATCTCAAAGAGTAGAACATTTTTTTAAAATCATATATTTAATGCATTGAATTTAAGTTAACTTCTCCTTTTCTTTTCTTATGTACTGAAACGAAATAAAAAAAAATCATACAATTTCCTCTATTATTTTGTTATTCGAACGTAACTTATACGTTTTGTCATAAGCATGGAAAAATAAGGACGAAAACCGATTTTTTAATTCATAGAATTTATTAAAGAAAAATCAAACATACGAAATTTATTACTATTTTTTTTCTTCCTCTTGAGTTCCATTAGAGTGAATGGTTATTAGACTCGATGTCAATCGTATTGAGTAGACGGCAAATTGTGGCACATACACATTCGAAGGGATTTAGTCAAGTCATTTGGTAGAAAAGAAGAGAAGAAAAAACCATTTTTTTTGCAGAAAACGTATACAATACACATACACTCGTGGTTTTTGTTTGTGCACACTTTGCAGCAATTTTCATTGCGTTGATCAAACAAATGAATTAATTTCATAAAATGAGATGAAAGAAGAAGTAAAAACAACTGACGAGAATTTCAATGAATAACAACATCAAAAAAAAATCATCGCTTAAACATAGCGAAATTGCTTATTAGATTCAAATATCATTTAGTTCGTTTGACACATAGACACATATACACAATGAAAGAAGATTTAAATTAAAAAAAAACGTGAAAAAATTTAAGCGACACCCACACGCGTAATGATTAAGTTAATTTTAGTTATCAGATGGGAAAATGAAAAAGAAAAACACACAAGAAATAAATGATGATACATAGTTAATTCATTTTTAGGTTTTAGTTTTATTATCAATGTCATTTTTTTTTCTTTTCGAAAAACAAGGAGAAATTGGAGAGAAAAAAAATATGAAAAATATATGAGAAAAATAACGCTAATTTACGATGGTCAACCGAAATAATGAGACAACAAACCAACAGAAAATGAAATCTATATAAACAAGAAACAAAAAATATATTCAACCGAGAATAAAAATCATTTAATTGCAAAATGATTAAATGATTTTTAATTGCATATTCGATATGAGTTGCGCAACTGAGAAAAAAAAAAAGAATAAAACAAAAAGATGAGAATGAACAGAAAAATTGATTATAAATTTATGATTACAATTTAGCTAGCTTAGTTTTTAGAATTTTACACAACAACAAAACAAAAAATACGATGCATCAATTTGCAAAAAAAACAAAACATACTGTAAATAAAGAGAAAAATTCTAATATAAAATTGAACAACAAGTCGCTTTTCCTTTAAAAAAGACTTTCTTCTACGGTTGTTTATCCCGGTTTATCCTTTTATCTGGTTTTCCTAATCCCCTTTTGGAAATGGGAATTTCTTTTGAGAAGTCGACCTCGTCTATTGTGACTTATTAAACGAATTTTTGGCATTTTTCAAATCAAAAACATTTTATTTTCTATTTTCCAGGTGCTCATTTTTTCTGTGACAACATAAGATGGCACAAATCAAGTATACTGAAACTAAAAATATATTTTCATTGATGAAAATACACATGAATGGCATTTTTCAAAGTTTTTTTTTATTAAATTCGTCATTTGTTTATAAAAATAAATTAATTCATATAAATTTTTCATGAGACAACTCGATTTGCATTGCTCAAATCGCCTGACTTTTGGTTTTTCCTGTAATTCGTGTTAAATTTGTTTCATCTTAACGTTAAACTTATTTAAAATCTATTGAAGCCGAGCTGTGAGACCCAGCTACATGAAGAGTTGTCGTAGTCAAGTGATGGATTCCTATGAAAATGAATAATGAGGCCATTTTCCATTTCAACCGTTGGCTTAAGAGTTGAAGAGCTGAAGCTGCCGTAGCAAGACAGTTCCAACCGAATTTCATATAGAATTTGTGGCCTAATTAAAATTGGTTGAGGTAAAAGAAAGTTCAATTGGCTGTTATTCCAACTCTTGGCGGTGTCTTCATAGAGCAATTTCTTCGATGAATTTGAGTGAAAAGTGTGATTTGACAGTTCAAGAATGGACACAAGAACGGTATTGTTGTACATATCATAATTGTATGATCCTGATGACGTTGAAAAGGTGCAAATTTCTCCAAGTAGCAGTGGATAGTTCGATGTGAATGTAATCCGTTCGGGCATTTGTATGGACCGTTGCTGTGACCCAGACATGCATCTTCGTTTGCAGTACACCACTCTATCTCGATTCCAAATGTATCTTCGTGGTTGTCGTTTGAAGATTTTCGCTTTATATTCCTTTACTGTCAAAGAAAGCATAATGTCTTCGAATTCATCTGAAGTAAATAAACCGTTGTAATTCACATACAATGCAGTAAATTCGTCGACTTTCATCTCATTGAAGCGAATCGATTGGAGACAATTGCCAAGTTGCGCTTTCAAATGCTCCGAATCATTTTCATTCAAATCATTTTGTTTGCACGAATGTTCGGCCCACATTCGGCAAGCGTTGAATATTTCCGCTTCGCTGCATGTCAAATTCAATTCTAGGATATGCTCCAGTGTTTCTTTGTCACAACGCAAAAATTCGTCCGAAGCAAAAACATCTTTCGGTGTTTCACAGATTCTATTTTCACAAAACTCAATTAACGCTTCATTTTTAACCAACATTGCCAATTGATAGGCCCAACACACATTGTCTAATGTTAGTTGACCTTCGAGAAATGTGGCACAGGCATTGACACAATCAAGGATATCGTATTTATCGGCCAGACGTGCAACCGTTTCAATATTTTCCATCGTTAATTTCACCTCGCTCAAGTAGAAAAACTGAAGAAACTCTTTGAACGCTATGATATCTGCATCGACAATCCGTACGTCTCCTTCCTCTTTCACTGATCCAAAGAACATCGCTCGAAACACTGGACTCAGTACGGCCAGAACTGCCTTATTTGCCGGAATTTTCTGAATTGCATCATCAATGTTAAACTCAAAATAAATGTCACAGAATTCTTCATTGAGATACAATTTTTTCGTTACTTCAGTGGAAGCGCTATTGTACAGAGCGTTAGTCATACTTTGATTTCTACGCAGAAAATATTGAAAATATGTTTGTTTTCACCATATTTTCCGTTCACAAATTTCAAATGTCATAGTTGACAACTTGACTCTTCTTCTTTTCAAATAACACTCGACCCAAACAAACAATATTCAAAGCAGAGTGACGAATTGGCATAGAACGAAAGAGAAAGCATAATGACGAATCTAAATATAGATACATACATAGAACTTTTCGTATCGCGTACAATGTATGTACGAGCCGCACTTCTGTGGGGAATCTCTCGACATTTGTTTATAAAATCAATTTCACGTGTTTTAAGCGCGGACGGTCAAATTTTATATTCTTTTGAAATATTTAATGAGTTGACGATACTTTCATTCGCATTTTTTGAAACAAGAAACTAGATATGGAAATAGATAACGATTAGGTGTCTTCAGCTTTACTGCTGAGCATGAAATAAACTACAAATATGTCGATTGAGAATATGAATGCCATACATTCATACACTGTACCTCATTATTTTTACTGTCGTGACTTTTGTCTCTCTCAATCCCCAAAGTGTTTAAGGGAAATTTTTTGAATTATCATAAAATAATTTGCTTTTACAATATTTTTTGTATCTCTGAATAATGTCATTTTTTTCGATAATTAGTTAAAATAACCAATATCTTATCGTGTTATGATTTAACCGACTGATCCACAAGACTTCTTAATTATTAAGTTCCAAATGCTATTGACTATTAATTAACAACTATGTTTACCAAAACGGTTATATACGGAATTCCCATATTACTTGTCCAGCTAATTTTGAATGAAAAGTGAACGTCAGCGAAATCTTCATTGGAATTTGTATTTTGTGTCCATTTGATCGTATTATGCAGGTCAAGGGAGATAATATGAAAACCAAACAAACACGTGCAAAACTAATCCGGTCGAAAAGTCATGCAAAAAAGACTAATTACACTTTCGAATGTGCATACATATATGCGAATGGATTTATTTCGGTACTTCTTAGAATTGGGTTGCTTTTTTACAGTTCCAATCAGTTCCAACAAACAAGCGCAAACATTACAAAAATGATTATCTAGTGTGTAATTTGAGGAACACAACATGGCGATCCGAATTTTCTTCACTTTTGAACAAAGTCAACCCAAATGTCCCAAAAAAAATATTCTTCCGTATTTTGCATAGTCAGATTTCATACGTTTCATTCTGAAAATTGAATGCATATCTCTATTCCATATGAACACATAAATTCTGTCCTTTAAAACATAACGAAAGACAAAACGTTTGACAATCTCGTCTCGATTTCATTTTAATTGAGTAAGAAATGTGAATTTTCATTAAAATGATTTGAAAGCATCTAAGCTAGTATTGTTATTTATAGTGTGTTAATTCGGTGCTTCCTTTGTTTTTCAGATAACATTTTATTTAACAAGCACATTTCACAGTTTGACAGCACGTATTCTGATTCTTGCAAAATATTTGTTCAGATCATGCACACAGTGAAATAAATTTCTCCAAGTAGCAGTGATTAGTTCGATGTGAATGTAATCCGTGGTCGAAGAAAGCATAATGTTTCCGAATTTTTGTTTCTGATTTTTTTTTATCAATTTTAAACTCAACATAAATATCACAGAATTCTTCAATGAGATACATTTTTTTCGTTACTTCAGTGGCAGCGGTATTGTACAAATGTTAATCACACGTTCAACGCAGAAAATGTTTAAAACGATATTTAGAGAAAGAGAGAAAGAGAAAGAGAGGGAGAGGGAGTGAACGAAGAAAGGGCTGATGAAACTAGTCCGATAAGTGTTTTGACATAATCAACAGATCGACCGCATAGCAATGATAACAGCACATCAATACACAACACCTACCGAAATGTCAAATGAAATACTAACACACATGAACCGATGTGGCCGAAAAAAATATCGGTTTGCATTGCAAATGTCTTCTTGTTCGCTGTCAAACAATAAATAATCAGTTCAAACATTTCGTCGTTTCGATTGATCAACATTCTAGGATATTTTGCTTTGTTTGTTTTATTTCACCGTAATGTCTGAAGTGAGTTTCATATTTATTTGTTCTAATTTAAATTTTCGCTTTCAATTGGCAACAGAAATTTGGGTTAAAAATGGACATTTTTGGTTTTTTTTTTCTTGAAGCCAAATTTCCAGATACAAAACTTCATACACAAAATACGCTACTACAGCGACTGTTCGAAGGATTTAGAAGAGCTGATGATTAAAGCCGATAGCTTCTTGGAAAGGGCTCATAATTATCGCTCCCCTGACGTAGAATATGCCATGCGCAGTTTAGTATGAATCGTTGAATACGTAAAATTCAGTGCGCCAAATGCTGCTTTAGTACCAATGTTATATCGAAGGCTTCTAAAATGTAGTGTATTTCACTTATGTTGTGTTTTATAGGGACGAGCTCTTGATCTTCATGTCACCGTTTCAATCACTCAAGCTGGGTTTTTGTTGTCGATAGCATCGGATATGTGTCCCATCCTGAAGTATTTGCCCACGGTCGATGGAGTGAGTTACAGCTAAACGATAGATTTTTTTTTCATGAAAAAAGAGACAGATTTACACTACCGTGCAAAAGTTTGGAACCACTAGGTATTTCTCATACAAATTGACCATTTTTGGTGGACTCATTAACATATTTCGGAAACACCTGCACTCTTGATATTTTGTGCATAGTTTCTACAACGTTTCAATAGTAAATCACAGAGGTTTTTTCAAAAAATATTCACGTATTTAAAAAATATATCAATTTGAATTTGATCTCTTTTAATCTTCATACAAATTTGATCATTTTTCACACAATACAAATTCAAATCGCTATATTTTTGAAATTCATGAATATTTTTTGATGAAACCTCTGTGATTTACTATTGAAACGTTGTAGAAACTATGCACAAAATATCGAGAGTGCAGGTGTTTCCGAAATATGTTAATGAGTCCACCAAAAATGGTCAATTTGTATGAAAAATACCTAGTGGTTCCAAACTTTTGCACGGTAGTGTATATATGCTCTACGCTCGCATAATTTATATTTCTTTTCTGACTTTTAGAATGTACTACGAGAAGCTTTGAAAAGAACAACTTCACACTCAGAACGTACTTATGTAAACACATTTGCAGTTTCCACCCAAATAGAAAAACTGGATCAAGCCGTAAGTATACTTTTCGCTGTAGTCTTGATTATTGGAATGAAAAAATATCAGATAACACTGGCACAGTTTCATCTTATTGGTGTTTACTTAAGTGTTTCCTGTTTAATAAGTTCATATCGAAAATTAAGCACCCCTCTATTGGATTAAGCAATAGATTCAAAGAAAGGGTCTCAAGAAGAGGCATTTTTCTTTGCTTTTCGAATCGATCTCATTTCGAAGAAATTCAAATTGTGAACCAAGTTTATTTCGATGTGTTTCGATGTCGTCGTTTTCGTAAAATTAATATTCATATATTTTATTTTTACATGTACAGTTTGGAACAGTGAATGCTAACGGGAGTCGGATTTATTTAGCAACATTAAGGTTGAAATGGCTGGTTACTGTAATTATCGACAAAATAGAATCGTTAAAACATCATAATATTGGGAATGAGCTTGCGGAACAAGACCAGGAACCGGTTGCCAACGAAGTGGAAAGTACCAGTGCCGGGGTAAATAAATCACAGAATATTCCATCATTTCATTTCATTTGGTCTATATAAATCTATTCTAAAATTCGTTATACATTGATTTTTTTCATCAAAGAATCTGCTGTCTGAAATTAGCGTGCAAAGTAGTTTTTTGAACAATATATGTATCGATAAGGACGTTTCGGACAGAGCATGCCGAGTATGTATTGATTTGATATTTTGTCATTTCTTACGAATTTTCCTCACAGAGTGGTTTAGTATTTATTCAAAAAATTTGTTGATATCAAATTTCTTCTTCCAATTTGTGGTTTTTCTCTTCGTTCAAGGCTGCAGCACTTTCAGCATATTCGAAAGCAATGATTGATCACCAAGAACTGACCCGAAAAGTGGTATTGTGCATTTCAAATTCGCCATTTTTTCTGGATGTTATGATTATGGAAAATTACTGATTTTTCACATTGTTTATTGAGCCATGAAATGATTATTGAATTTACTTTTTGATTTTTACACAGAAATTTGGAATAGTTCCATTGGCCATCAAGGAAGTGGAAGCTGATGTCGTAGGAAACTTCACTGAATGTGAAAACATTGGTTACAGTGTGAGTATAATCATCAGTCAGTTTTAACAACTGTAATTAATTTAATATTATTTTTTTCACAGCGGGAATGTATGGCGAAAATTGACAATCAGTTGGAACAATCAATCGAAAAAATGAGGGCTTTTGTGAAACATATTCAGGAAACCCAATCCAAAGTTTAGACGATTCACGGATGAACAAGCGGAAATAAGAGAAGAAGAAAACCGGAAAAATATAAATAAAACACTGTAATTGTATTGAAATTGAGTTCTCGCATCACATCAGCATGTTAACTATTGAACTGAATCAGCAATAATTCTACAACAATTCAACATCCATGTTCACATTGAAAACACACCTTTATCCATTCCATGCATTGGGTTTTAATTTTCATTTAGATACAAAAAATAAAGCAAAATAGTTTCTTTTTAATCATATTAGAATACAAAAAAAAAACGATTTCAAAATTATATAAGAAAACATACTGTAAATTAAGAGAAAAGTTCTAATATAAAATTGAACACCAAGCCGTTTATTCATTTAAAATAAGACTTTCTTATTCTATTGTTTACATTTGTTCATCTGGTTGTCTTAATTACCCTTTGGAAATGGGAATTTACTTTGAGAAGTCCACCTTGTCTATTGCAGTTTGTCGAAAGCATTTTCGGTGCAGAACTAATCTTGTCGAAATGTCGTGCATGACAGATTAATTTCATTTTTAAATGCGATTATTTGAACGGATTTATTTTGTTTATTTCTGTACTTCTGAGAATTAGGCTGCATTTTTCAGTTTCAACAGTTCAAAGTTTTTACAGTTTCAGTTTTTTCCTTTTGAAAAAAAAAAAAAATAATGCATGAGCTATTTTTTTATGCGCTATGAGTGCTTGAAATCTTGGCCTGAACGTTGTTCTTTCATTTATAATATTTAATAATGAACATTCTTCTAAGCTTTCATTGATTTATGTGCGTAAAATTTTGTACACTCATCGACTTCAATGATTAATTTGATTCCTCGGTGAAAAGTAAAAATTCATCGAAAATGAAAGTAAATAGTTGTCACAACACTGAAAATTTCAATTGTTGTTGATAAGGTAATACGTTCTTTGCTTTCAAAATACAATCTCTTCTTTTCTAGATGATTTAAATAATCTAATAAACTGCAGGAATATTGTCCATCCAGATGGAAGGATATCGTAGCTTGTGTGAAACGGGTGTTTATGAAATTCAATTGTAACACTACCATCCGATTCGACCAATGGCGATATACGGTATGAATTGTCTTGAGGAATGTTCGCTAATCGAATTTCGTACATGATTTGCGGTTTGATCAAAATCCGCGGATTTAAAACTATATATTGACGATGACCTTCCCACATTGTTTTAGGTGAGCTCGCGTACAAAATCCTCTTTGATGAATCGTTGCCAATCTCTGTGATGGTTAAATGAGCACCTTCAAAATTTCTATTAGCCTTGTCAAATGGGACACACATAAACCTTTTTAATAATACCGGTTCATTTGATGTAAACCAAATAATTTCTGAGCCCTGATACCTTATTGTACTCGAATACGTATGCGGCCTTTGACATCGCAAAAATGCATTTTCATTCCATGTGAAGCGTTGACGATTTTGATTGAATATTTTCGGTTCATACCCTTCCACTGTTAAAATGGACATAATATCGTTGTACTCATCTGGAGTGAAAAATCCATCGTTCGACATTGCAAAGGTTGAAAACTCTTCAATTGTCATCGCCCCGAATCGAATCAATTGCAAACAATCGCCGAGTTGAGCTTTCAAATTCTTCATCTGCGTTTCATCCAAATCGTTTTCTTTGCATGCATATCTTGCCCATGATAAACAGGCGTTAAAAACGTCCGTTTCTTTGCAGTGTAGATCCAGATCGAGGATACGCTTCAGAGTGTTTTTATCACAACGTTGAAATAAATCGGATTCGAACATAATTTCTGGTACTCTGTTGATTTTGTTAGCACAGGATTCAATTAATTCTTCGTTTTTGAGACAAAGTGCTAGCTGATATTCCCAGCACAAGTTCTCCAGGGTTGGTTGGCTTTTGAGAAGCACGGCACTAGCGTTGACATGTTCGAGGATATCGTATATGTCAGCCAAACGAACAACGTTCTCCATATTTTCCATCGTTAGTGTCACCTCACTCCGATAAAAGAACTGCAGAAACTCCTTGAATGACTCGGCGTCTGCATCAACAATTTCAACATCTCCTTTTTCTTTCAACGCTCCGAAGAACATGGCATAGAACACCGGGCTTAGAGCTGCCAAAATACCTTTGTTTGCTGGAACTTTTTGGACATCATCGTCGTAGTTGAATATGAAATGAACATCGGCCAGTTCTTCGTTGAGATACATCCCTGCAATTGCTTCCGATGCACCACCATTTTTTAACACGTTCGTCATTTTAACTCGTCGACACTTCAAATTTACATTTACTCAAAATTATTTTCAAATCTAAATTTTTTTGTTTGTTTTCTCCAACGGTTACGATCGCAATAAATGTTCTGTTTCAAAATCAGTTGTTTCTCACACAAACGTTCGAGAACTTATGTGCGGTTTAAGCAATGTGGTCGGTCGTTTTATGCGAATTTGAATACGAATATGAATAAAAGAGACTTCATTAGCACGAAGGTGTGTGTGTGTGTGTGTTTGGATTTGTGTCCATTCGATCGCATTATGAAGGTCATAGAGAGATAAAACCAAAACAAACACGTACAAAACTAATCCTGTCGAAAAGTCGTGCAAGATAGACAGACTAATTACACTTTCGAATATGCATTTATGCGAACGGATTTATTTCGGTACTCCTGAGAATTGGGTTGCCTTTTTACAGTTCCAACAAACAAGCGCAAACATTACAAAAATGATTATCTAGTGTATAATTTGAGGAACACAACATGGCGATCCGAATTTTTTTCACTTTTGAACAAAGTCAACCCAAATGTCCCAAAAAAAATATTCTTCTGTATTTTGCATAGTCAGATTTCATACGTTTCATTCTGAAAATTGAATGCATTTCTCCATTCCATATGAACACATGAATTCTGTCCTTCAAAACATAACGAAAGACAAAACGTTCTTGTTTGACAATCTCGTCTCGATTTCATTTTAATTGAGTAGGAAATGTGAATTTTCATTAAAATGATTTGAAAGCATCTAAGCTAGTATTGTTATTTATAGTGTGTTAATTTCGGTGCTTCCTTTGTTTTTCAGATAACATTTTATTTAACAAGCACATTTCACGGTTTGACAGCACGTATTCTGATTCTTGCAAAATATTTGTTCAGATCATGCACACAGTGAAATAAATTGCATTGGATCAAGGCATTTTGAAAATGAATTTAAAACTCAGTATTTTTACATCTTTGTCGAATGTTTATTCGTTAAAAATGAAGAAAACAAAATTTGAATAAATAAAATTGTAGAACTAAATTAAAAATCGAAGCGAGTTGTGTTTGTTATTCCAAACTGTTGCAAAATATAAGACTGTGTTCGTCTGCTATGTTTGCCCTACGAATTCTATGCGTCATTTGCCTAAAGTCGTTTAAAACTCAAGCACGAAACCAAACCGCGTCGATTGCTGTTCCCAATTGAATCATTTTGATGGAATTTCACACAGAGATCGTCATCCAATTGCACTTCCGAGTTCCATAATGCGCAATGATAATAGTAATTACAATTCTCAGTTTCCATGCGAATTTCGTACACTTTGTGTGGCAAAATAATCAGTGGCTGTGGTATGGCGATTCTAGTTTTGATTTTTCTAATGAGTGTCACCTCTTTGGTGAAGAGCGTATTGCTTTCGGACGATTCGTCATCTACTTCAATGATGGTTAATTGAAAATTCACAGAAAAACTATGGGAATATTTATTCAACAGACCTTTGCACCAAAATGCACCAAACAGAAGTGGTTTATTGGCTGTGAACCAAAGAGATTCCATGCTTTGAATGTGGTAAGGTGTATCTTCGATTGAATTCTCTCGCCAGCACATCAACTCTTGGTTTCGTGGCCAATAATCCAATGGCTTTGATCGTAGATTTTGACTAAACATGAATGAAATATCCGCCAGTTCACTCGATGAGAATAAATCGCGATGTGCGGCCAAAATTCCAACCAACTCTTCCGTTTTCATTGCATCGAATCGTATCAGGTAGAAACATTCGCCGAGTTGAGATTTTACGCACTTAGGATCATTTTCGTCGAGATCGTTTTGTTTGCATGCAGATCGTGCCCAGGATAAACATGCGTTCAACACATCAGTTTCTTTGCATAGCATCAAATCGATTAGCAGGATATTTTTCAAAATGTTTCGATCACAACGAAGAAATGAGTCTGTTTGGAATACATCCAGTGGTGACGTGCTGATCATTCTCTCGCAAAATTGCCGCAACAGGACATTATCAACCGACATTGCCAATTGATATCCCCAGCATACATTTTCCATCGTTAATTTACTCTCAATATATCGCACACAACTGTTGATACACTCGAACATATGGTATTTTTTGGCCAAATTTATAACTTCTTCGATATGTTCCATGGATATTGTAACTCGTTTCAAATAGAAAAACTGCAGGAATTCTTTGAATCCATCGATAGTAGCACTAGAAACTTTAACGTATCGACTTTCTCTCATTAGTCCATAGAATATTCTGTGGAACACGGGACTGGCTGCAGCTAAAATGAGCTTGTGTGCAGTCACTTCATGGGTTTCACCATCAATTTCGAACACGAAACTCACATCAGCCAATTTAGCGTCTAAATACAAAGTTTCAATTGACTGTGAAACACTTTTGTTCTTCAGTTTATATGCCATGGTCGAGGTAATTGTGGATTTGTTTCGATTTGAATGAAAAAAACAATAGAATTTATGCATGAAATGTCTACTCTACGCTCAATACTACACGATATGTATTAAGAAACAACTAAAGTTTATTTACAACCTCAATGAAATGTTTAATCTTTCGGCGCACATATTACCATAATATCGTTCATGAATTGACGCACTCAAATTTTTGGCCAGCAAATGGATACAGATTATATGACTACTGCGTTTGTCACGCAATGACACATTTTTAAAACTCGAGCGTAAAATAACGAGATAAAGTTTGATATAAAGCTTTTTTTTTTAATTCCTTATTATGTTTTCATTTTTTCGTTGTCGTGTGAATCACCCTTTTAGTTTCGAACACAAATAAATCCATTGTTCCAACGATTTGCATCAAATCAAAGTTTAATTTTGGTGGCAGACTTACTTAAACGGGGCGAATTCCATTTGAATTGTGCGCCAAAATCCAAGTAGTTATTTGTCATCGCGAGTGAGAAGAGATTTCACACAATTTCTATGCATGGTAAAACAAGCAAATAGATATCTGAACACGAGTCGCTGCGAATCATAGCACAGCAATTAGATGGCAATTTTACGAGTCAGTATGAGTCAGCTGCGGGGAAATTAACGCTGACTAATTTTTTGTCGAGATAAGATTATAAATAGTCAAAATGATCAGAAATGAGAAAAATATTAATGATTTGCATATTCAATTGAATGTTAAAGGATCTTTCAAAACAGATTAGTCGAAATTTTGGAGAAAAAACTCAAATTTAATATTTCAGTCAACGTTTTTTTTTTATTGTTCAGAAAGAGAGTGATACATTCTCAAATTCTGAAGCAAAACGCAATCATTTTATCAAGACTGATTATTATCAATTGAAATTCATTTCATTTTAAAATCAATGTAGAGAATATTCTACTGAAAATCGAGTTAAAAGTCGGTTATAATAAAAACAAAGCCTAATACATACGGCCGTTTGACTGTATCACAACGAAAATCAAAGCGAAATGGATTTGCGTTTGTTGTGTGAGTTCCTCTTGTGTCTTAAGCGAAAATCGCTTGTTCGTCTAATGACTGTGTGAGTGATATAGGGATTGGGGGGGATGAACTGAGCTTGTATAACAACAATTAAACCAATAACATAGCCAATTTAATTTAATCACATTTGTCGAGCGGCTTCAAATTATGCACATAAGCATACACAAGCGATAGAGAGAGAGAGAGAGAGAGAGAGAGAGAGAGAGAGAGAGAGAGAGAGAGAGAAAGAAAGTGGCTTTGCTGCCGGCGCAATGTTTTAATTCGATGAACTTTAGCAAAACCATTTCATACCCAATAGAAATTATGAACACGTAAAACAGCCGTGCAACGATGACTTTTTGCCATTGCCACAGTTGCCGTTTTCATTCTGTGGGTTGGTTGTTGTTGCCGTTGTTCTAAACGAAAATGGCATGAAATATAATTTTACAATGATTGCACGGCGTAATATTAATTTTACGCTTTATTCCCATTGTTTTTACTTGAAAATGTTGTGTTCGCTTGTTTTGCATGCGGCTTGATGGCATTCGATGCGCTTGAATGTTCGGTTCCCTCGGTAAATTGAGCAACCAATAAAACTCAATGAGGTATTTTAAAGGAAATTATGGAAATCGACACGGCAAGGACAAACAAACAAACACACACACACACATGTTTTACTTCACATTTAACGAGAGGCTGAACAGTGCTAAATCGTTTTATACAAATCTAATTACGGCATTAGAATCATTTTGAATGAGACAGTTATTTTAAACAGAGATTCAGAGTTGCAAAATGTGTTGTCAAAGGGTTGATCCAAGTTCAGAGGATTTTCGACAGAAAATCGAAACAATTTGGAAAAATCGAGACTTTTGCCAGAGCAAAGAATTTGAAGTAATTTCGAAAATAAGCGTAGTCTTGAAAAAAGTAAAAAAAAAGCAGAGAAAATGATGTTTTATCATTTGATCAACACACTTCTAAACATTTTTCTGTCATTGATCACTTTCATAAACAAAACATGTAGCCCTCTAATCGCTTGGAGTTTGTAGTATGACGTTTTATTTCAAAATCGAAGTCGTATCAAAGTCAGTGACGAACGGATATTGCCTATAAAAAATAGACCAATATACAAATGAAAAGAAGTCTTCCATGACATGAACATAACTCCAGAGCAGTGGAATGCAAAATCTAATAAAAAAAAAATCACAGTTTTAATGAATAATAGAAAAATCTGCGTTTTGTTCATTTTGTACCACAATATATGATGAGAAAAATCTGTTTTGTAATTTTATTGAGTCAAAAAAAAAGTCCTAGTCAACGACATTTATGTTTTTTCAAGACAATTTACCATCCGAATGCTTAATCCTGATTAAAAAAAATAAATAGCCAATCCACATTTTTTTCTCTCCGAAGATATCGCCCGACTGCTGCTTCAAAAAATGACACTGAAGTACTTGAAGAAAAGAAAAGAAGAATTTCATGAAGATAATGCCAACAACTGTGGGGTGATTCAAAATACTTGTTCTAAATTAAAGCCAATAAAAAAGTAATTGATTTTCAAATAATGTCTTGATTGGCGAGAAAAAGTCGGGGCTAGGCTCATTCCACGTCTGACGCACTTTGGTTCAAAGCATCTTATTAACCAAGAACCGAGAGCCATCGGGATGAGTTCAAACAACCGCTCGGTCTGCAATTCTTTGTGATACATTTAAGTGTAAGTAATATTACGCCAGAAAAAAAGGCGTTCAAGCTGAAGAGGAAGAAACAGGTTGAAATACCAGCAACAGCTACAACAAACGGTACAATAACGAAGTCGGAAATTAAAAATTGGATTTTTCCACCGAGCGAAATTAACACGTTGTATTGAGGCTCATAAAAGGCATATAAAATGAACGCAGAAAAAAAAGACGAGTGATACGAATGTGGGGCATAAAGAGAAGTTGAAGGCGAGAAAAAAAGGTTACGGGATTTTTTTCCACTCTTCACACATTTTTTTAAACGGTCCGTCGATTTTGTCAGTCGATTATACGGAGATGACTTTTATTTCTTTCTTCTCTTTTATTTTTATTTTCTAAATTCTGTTTGATCCGCGTTCGGTGCATTTGTGGCAGTGGATTATTGCACAGCCTCGAATGTTGAACAGACCGAGAAAAAAGTGTGAGCAAAGTAAGAAGCAATTGTTTTTCTTTTGAGAGTGTAACACAAAACACATGTAAACACATTGAGCAACAACGATTCATCTACAACTGATAGCGTGTCTATTGTGTGCACGGCTTTTGATGTGTGCTACTGCCTCGCTCGCTCGATTTTGGGATTGTGCACCCTTCTTATTTGTGTGTGTGTGTGTGTGTGTGTGTGTATGTGAGCATTTGAGCCCGGGGTGCATATTGTACTTTAGCGTGTAAAGTGAGCTTGTTATTTCGTGAAAATGCGAAAGAGATTAGCATGTTTAAATGGCATCGGGATGGGAATGATGACACTCTCCCTCGCACACACACACAATGCGTCTTCTATAAATCTAGAATATCCATGACATTGATGCGCTTTAGACGGGTCATCCATTTGACTGCCAACATATTATATTATTGACTTTTTCGAAGAAAAAAAATATTCCAACGAAACGTCGTCGCTTGACTTCGTGCCACCGTGTGTTATTTTGCAGGATGCACTTGCTGTTTTTTTCTCACCAACGAACCAAAGTAGATTCGCGACTTATCGCATTTTTATCATGCTTTCCTTCGATTTTCATGATGGAAAAAAATTGCCGCCGCATTTCGTTCGCCTCGTTTTAATTTAATATTTCGTTTTTTTTTCTTCTCATCCACCAAGTATATATTGTTCAACGATGCAGGGGCATTTTTTCCGGTTTGTGATTTTTTCTAAAGTGAATCTGATCAATTTAAATGAGTAGAGAAAATGTGCACGACTTATTTGTAGGTTTTCCCGATGACATTTTTTCTTCCTCCATCGTCTTCATTTCACGTTGAAATCATCAAACGGAATGAGAGAGTGAAAGAGGAAAAAAACGGCGACATTCGATACAAATGTATATTGGATCAACGAATACCACGGAATATCGCGCGAACTGGAAGAGAAAAAAAAATCTACGAAGACGAAGAAAGAAAAAAAACCAAAGAATGGAATTTAATTAAGTGAAATTGCGTCACTTGTGTTTTAATTGCATTTTTATCATTTGACAGAGATTTTAATGAGGATTTTCTTTCGCTTGCGCGCACTTTTTTTATCATGCAGTTACTTCATCTCGTGTCCTCTTTTTCCGCTGTTATCTCTTTGTTTTTATTATTGTGACTGTTCTTTTCGACTTCTTTTCTTTTCAATAATGCGGGAACTTTTTTTCCAAGCGGCTATGCGACACGTTTCTTGATTAGATGAAAACAATGCGAGAAAAAAAAACTTATTGCTTAATAATAACGAATAATATATCACATTGATTTTGGACTGTTTTTCCTATCCCTATTTCGTTTTGTCTTCACAATTGACGCAACGAGGGCACTGTCTAATCTACTTCGCACATCCAAACACAATTGCACGCGATTTCAAACAGCTATGGCAAAGAAAAGAATGGGGAAAATGTTTAGTTAGGGAAAGAAAAATAAGATAAAAACAAAAATCGACAAACTTCAGAAGGAAATCGTAACTGATAACTGGAACAAACATTGCCAATGGAACAATGACTATTCCATGGTGAATGGGTTAATGACTAAGTCGAAAATACACAAAAGTTAGATTCTAATTAAATCCGGCTCTATTTTAAGCTCAAATTCCATCCTAGAACTGGTAAGTTGCTATTTTTGTAGTTGAAATCGTTTATAACAATCGTTTTATCAAATTTTATATTTTTTTCTTTCTTCGAAAAATAAATTCTTTTCAAATCACTTTTTTATTTTTCATTCAATATTGTTCTCATTCAAAAATCGAGCATCTGAATCGCCTTGTTCTCAATTCAATG